AACATGAGGAACTGTATTTAAAGGGCCAGAAGGTTGAGAACCACTGCTCTAGAGAGTAAACCTGAATGGGGGAGGAAGCTATCAAACTATTTTTTATACTAACTTGCAACCAATCCTCTTGTGTTTAACCTTACTTTAACTGAAACTTTAGAATGCCCCCAAGTCTTAAGCTTTTCCATGACTGAATCTGGAGGATCTTCTTAGCTTTCATGACTATGGATTTAAATTTCAGTTTTCTCTTGCCTGTTAAGTTATTCAATCATTCATCTGTTTTCCAGTGTTCAGAATTTGCTGACATTTCGTCTGTCATTGTCCCCCCTCTGCCGTTCCTTTTTAATTTTGTAGGTTTGGCATTTTTATTCCTTTACTATCATGGGATTTTGAGAAAGAGTGAAGATTAATATAAATGTTTGATTTTTCCACAGAGACTTGGGCAGAATGGGAAGATGGATATTGCCAACATTATAGGACAGTGTCAAAAATCATTAGAAAGTCAGGCTGGCACTCTGTTTTGGTTCCACTACAGTTTATATTTAAAGTGCCCTATGAAAGAAAGGCATTTAAGTTAACAAAACAGTTCAGAAAAACAGGTTTCACCTTTTCATTTTCCCATTGTTTTCATACTGCCTTGCTCAAATGAATTACGCCCACTTGAGACAAAGGTACTTTTAGTAAAGCAGACCTGTTAGGAAACTCATAGTGCAGTTATACTCTGGTCACAAAACCATATGGTACATTCCTGAAAGCTGTTATTACATTTCAAGGACTTATATTACTTCAAATACTCATGTGGCCTTAAAAAAAGATAACACTTTTTAAACACAATTTGTTTCTGTTTAGTTTAGACCCTCTAAACATATCCCTTGTAAGGACAGTGCCTAAGTATAAGTACCTTTTATGTCAATCAATACACATTATGAGTATGATCAAATGATGTAAAATATTTACTTGGTTTTTAAATGGACATGTTTCTATAAGTTGTTACTTATTGATACTGTTGCCCTTAAAATCAATGACAGTTGTTACCCATTTTTTAATTAATAAAATACTATAACTACAGTATTATATATCAATACTAGAGGCCCAGTGCACAGATTCGTGCACCGGTGGGGTCCCTCGACCTGGCCTGCACCCTCTCGCAATCCGGGACCCCTTGGGGGATGTCAGAGAGC